CTATAATGATCAAATTGATAATATCTTTCTAATTCAACAAATGTGGTATGTGGATTTGCAGTTGAAGTTGAAGTAGTAGATGAAGAACCAAGAACATTACGTTTCTTAGCTATTATGGAGAAAAAAGAAGATTTGCTTTTAAAAATTGTACTAAAGCTATTATGCTTAGAATCCCCATTTTTTTCAAATTAAAAAAAAAAAAATTCACGGGCTAGCAGGTTAAATGCGCCCCGTGAAGTTACAACCTGCGAAGCCCGCGGGTCACACCTCGTTGACCCGTGAACAGCCCGCTCGAGTCATGGGTCGGCCTGCAGTCCTGAGTCGATCCGGGCCGATTTCCACCGATCTGGTCGGCCCGTCCATCGACACCTCTACATCCTGCTCTAGCAAGTAGAAATTAAGGTTAAATCATATTAAAATATTAACATGCCGACAAAAACACCAATAATATTAAGTCTCTGTTTGACACACATTTTATTAAAATACATTTTTTCAAAATTTATTTTCAATAATATATTTTTCAATAAAATAATATTTCTCATTATATTACTTTTTATTATTTTTTAACCACATATTTCTTATCATATAATTATTTAAAATACATTATTTTCTTAATAATACTCATCAGGCCCACCTTAACATGCCGACAATCACATGCTCACGTCACGGACATCTTTTGTCAAACGGAAGAAAAGACCACAGCCTTGAATTTAGTGGCAGGCAGACGAAAAAACGGTGCACGTACAGCTCTTAGGTGAGACAAACACAAGTGCGTGTTATCCTGCCACCAAGTGTCAAGTAGGTCCCACAAAACCCACGGCTCCACTGATTCCGTAAAACTTGCGATCTAGATCTACCCAAAGCATCACCCACACCATAGCCTTTCTACTCCTTTCCACGCTCAATCAAGAATATTCCGGACAGCCATCTTGAAAATTCCCCTTCTTCTCGTAATCCAAAAAGAAAATTAAATATGTTAATACCATGTTTGTCTAAGCTCATAAAATTTACTTACAAGGTAGCCTTTGTTTGGATTCATTTTCTTGCTAATTTTTCTCTTTTCAATGTTTTATTGGTATTTCACAAAAATAAAATAATAATATTAAAATTTTGAAAATAGTAAATCGGGATATGGAGAGGCGAAAAGATGTATATTTTAATCTCTATTCCCAACCCGCCCCTTGAAAATTTCTAATATAATGGGGAAATATGTGCCCCCATTCTATTGCTATCCCTATTGGATGTGTAACTTTTTACACTATGGGTCAATGTTCATAAACTATTTTAAGCCCCTATTTGAAACTCATTTTTTTTTCTCATTTTTACCCAAAATTCATTTTGCAACAGGGAAACAATTG